TCGAAAACTCAGTTCATGTCAAATAACAACATTAACACCAGCATAAATAACCATGTCATCCATGTTTTTGACGTAATTAATCAATTTTCTAACGATATGACAAGTAACTCCCACGTCCGACTTTCTATTAACCTCGGCATTGATTGAACAATTCTTTCCACTTCTGTTCAGCAAAGTGGGGAAGTGGAATAGCACCTCGCGTTTGCTGAACAGAAGTGGAAAGATATGACAAGTTTTGAAACGGTAATCATTTAGTGTTACAGCGGTGCATCAAACAGATTCCATTCTGATGCATCGGTTTCTTCCAGCCGTTTCGGCATTGGAAACTGGAAATCGTTCAACAATCGTGGCGTTTTTGCAGATATGAGTGAACCAAAACCTAAAGTCATGACGACTATTACTTTTGGGGCAACTAGCGATTTACGGGCTTATGTTACTTGGTGGTGTTTCCGAACATCGAACCACGCTGTACAAGTTCGTCATCCCTCAGTAACGTCACCAAGGCCAAGGAGTTCCACACTTCCGTCTAGAAGCTCAGTTAAAATATAGCACATGCTCCGTTGCTAACTTGCCACCAAATACGTTCGAAACAGAAGCATTCTTACATCATCTTGAGCTGAGCATAAAAGCAAATACTCTATTACACGAAGGAAATGAATGACTTTTCCACGGGATCGTTGGAACTGTTAGATGATTAATGAAAGAGTGACTAGTAGAGGTGAAACGTTTTTGCACCATCGAGAATAGGTAATATTGGCGAGGAAATCGCTGGTGCCCCATCTCTCCACATTTGCAATGCCGAACGAAAACACTGTCATGCTCCGAGTTTGTTTTGAGGCATTTATCCCAGTGAAGACTGATGTTCATATTAGAATGCAACGTAGTTTTAAAAATGTTTTGGTGATCGATGATCACTTGACGCACATTCAGACGAAGGCGGCGCCTTGTACGCCCTTCGTGGCCCGTATTCCGATTGTCCTCTTGTCTACAATCACGATCTTCCTCTCGCCGACGGTGAAAGTCACCCGGTGATCCACTTCGACAAATGCGCTTTGGCTTGTATCGGTCACTAAACTCTGAGTCAAGTGATCATCCAGGAGTGCCGGAACAGCATCAGTCTAGCTCAAGACGCAAGCACACATGTTATCTATTAACTTCCGAATAGTACTATATCATCAAAGTGTCTTTATCACTGATTGCTTTGAAGAAATAGTAAACCTACTTAGTCCTGTTATTCCTACAAAAAATCTTCGATAACCTACTGAATGATGCATAACTCTTCGTCTATCGGAATTTCCGAAGGTTTAACTCTGCAAACGTCTATACTTCATTCAGTTTGTGCATTAAGAAATTCAGTGGAGGTGATCTGATGGATTATGAGTTTAATATCGTTTTGAAAGAAAGGAACTTCACATCTGACATTTTGGTAGAATTTTGTCATTGTCCATCTCTGGTTCACTCTTTTTTTTTTGCATTGTCTATTTTCACATCTAACGTGTGAAGTCCAATACTTGAATTCTATTCGTACTTGTCCATCGGTCATCCGCAAAAGTCTTTGATTTTTTAAGTGTGGGTCTTTTCAGAATTTTTATCTTCTTTGTAAATCTCGTTTAATGCTCTTCGAGTAGATTCTTACGGGATGGTTGTGCTAGGTCGTTCCTGCATGGATTTGACGGAGTGGGTTAGCTCCAAACAAGTCTGGCACCAATTTTCCGACCCCGGAAGAATGACACGATTGCTGAGTCCGCTGTGGCGTCGAACCTGCACAGTATTCACACTGGTGAGCACTACTGCCACTGCTCTACCTACTACTGCCTCATCCTTATCCTCATTAATTTTATTCTCTCTTGACTTCATGAAACAGCTCTGTAGCACAGTGGTTAGACGGTGCTCTGCAGTACAAGTAGGTTTAATCCCGCGCCCAAGGCCCAGCGAGCATTCCACCCTCCGTGGTCGACAAATTGGTACCAGACTTGTCTGTAAGAATAGCAACATTGGCTCGATACATCGGTAGGCCACCTTGGGTCATTGTATAAGCCAGATAAGCATTCAATCACCTCTAACGATACTTGACGAAGTCGAATGCATGGCGCCTCCCTCAGGGATTGATCAACACCGAAAGCTTTATCCTTTTTCCCATTTTTAATTTTATGCTGAAGCGACTGTAGCGCAATGGTTAATGGTGCAGTCTACCAGAAAGTATAAGGTACTCGTTCAATCTCTTCTTCAGCGTTCTCCTCCAGTCAACGTGGAAACGTCTTATCTTAACCATCCCCAAATTTGCAAGGCGAATTGATTCGACCAGAATTCTACAACATTCATAATGAAGACGAAATCCTCAAGCAGGTTCGAAGAGCTTTCTGAACAATGAATTCAAGTAAAACGGATCGAATGGAATAAGTGCTGGGATCCGCTGAGTAAGTATGGTGGTGGATCATGTAAAATACTTGGATGGCTGGATGGCCCGTTTTCACTGGTTGTGCGGACCCCAGTATAATTTCGATTTCTTCGGAGTTTACCTGGTTGAGCCACTGTGTTCCCTGGAGTCCATGGACCATCTAAAATAAAAAAGTAAATAGTGAATTTCACGTTGCTTATCCATGAAACTCATACGAATAGACAATAATACCGTAGCTGTGTAATTTGATTACGTCAATGAATGTTTTATAGCATCTTTCATTATAACACGTTTCGTAAATCATATTTTCTACAAAAATTTTTTATTTTTTCGTAAAGCCTTTAACAGGACTAACCAACCTACTGATTAGAACACTGTTATCAGGCTGATGAGCCGACACGACAGTTTTATTATCCAGTGCCCTTTGGGACGAAACGAACAGGATGCCCATCTCGTTGTCTTGGAACTGAGGGCACTCGTTACACTCACTGACTCTTGGTTTATAGTTATTTGAATTAACGGCGTTCTCTCGCTAACATTCTGGCTTTACTTCGTCAAGTGTCAGGTCATGTGCTAATTTCAGATAGCGTTTTTCATATAGCGCCGCAGACCACCGCAGACACACTGGAGAATCGCAACGATCACACATTTGTGTGCTTTTCAGATGATGCATAACGTTTTCCAAGATCACTGTATCATCTTTGAACAGTAAATGCAGTTATTATGGAAGAGATACAAGTTCACCGATTCTTGTTGAAGTAATTGCTCCCTGTTGTTTACTTCGATTTTCTTCTGCATAGTTTAAGATCTTCTTACACAAAATATCTATTAAGCTATAAACTAGACGATCCTTCCAATTTCGGCCAAAAAATTCGTCGAGCTTCTTATCTACAACCTATTGTTCCGTTTATTCTTGTACTTTTTTCAGTATTCCAATCAGGACCCACCTCAGTGCTATCCGTATTTATCGGCACAACGTTAGCGCTATGCTGTGGGTCTTACCTCTTCTAGCGCTGGTCAGCACCCAGACAATTCGTAAGCGTTTGAGTCATTCATTCAGTTAAACTCATAGGAAATTTTTGTTTAGCTTTTATGTTAATGAATACTCAAGTACGGAAATGTCTCCATTTATCATGTGATTGATTTACTCATTCTATTCCAACTACTATAAAATGGGTTCTGATGACTGCAAGTTTGTTTAAAAAAAGCTACATGGGAAGACGTGTTCTAAAATAGATGAAAAACAAACGCTTACGATGTTTCTTTTAAGCACGCAAAATCATTAAGGTTTTAGAATCGAGGATGTTTTAGAAGCAGCTAAACGAATACATTTAGAAACTTACACAAAAAGGTTTTTCGAAAGCCATAGCTTTAAAACTTCAGTGTTATAGAAAGGAAAATACAACTTTTGGATTATAATGACTCGCTTAAACCAAAGATTTGATGTCGTCCAATGATATCGCGTCATTTATCAGAGGAGACATCCTCGAATTGAGGTCACTGTTTATTGCGTCTTGATAGAGAACCCTGTCGCAATTCAGCAAACTGACCCAAATTTCTGTGGGAACTTTTGTGTCAAAGGTTCAGCAACCTCAAATGAATTGAATGTTTCATGTTATCTGCAATTGCCAGGAGTTCAAAAGCTGAGATAAAGCGATTTTCTTCGTATTTTTGTTGAGCAAACGCCAGGTGTTACTATTCTTTGTTCACGATTAAGCTGACGTTTCGGCGGCTTTCGCCTTCTTCAGAGCCTGGAAATGTCAAGTTGATAGCAATCCACTCGGCCAGACGCCTCCATAACCAAACAAAGAAACCCCAAACCAAAATTTCAATCAACAAGCGTTTGCTCAACAAAAATACGAAGAAAATCACTTGATCAATGCCGAGGTTAATAGAAAGTCGGTCGTGGCAGTTGCTGAGATAAAGCATTCATTTTCTTGTAACACTAAATCTTTTCATCACCTGCAATCCTGTCGATGATCGATTGACCTAAGTGGGTACCGATAAAGCCCCTATTCGTCCTATCACAGGCCGCAGTTGCACGCTGGCTCGAGGAACTCCATGACCATTGTTACATTACACATTTCATATGACGATTTTTATTCTTACTGATTTTAGTGAATCAGTGCCCATGGCGAACTTAGTGGTATCTACCGAGGCATCTGGGTAACCTCGTTGTTTACCGTGCTCTTGTAAAAAGAGAAGGAATTTTGCTACTGTAGAGTATATGGGGTACGGATATAAACACTTTCTGAGCGAAAACGCACTTACGTAATTACGCATAAGTCTATGGAACGTTATATGTCAGTAGCACATCTCTTGAATTCAAATGCGCACCTCAAGTTAACTACTGTGCATGGCGGTTTCCGGTCTGCGTTTAATCTTTTCTTGGCCTTCAGAAGACCAACGTATGGGGTCGAGACTAAGAGCGTTGAGATTGGTCGCATGAAAGATACCTCGAGGGCAGAAAAAGGGTCAATACATTGGGCATTTTCCATGAATCTTTGCTACTATTTTCACTCAATGGTTGCATAACTCGTCATCACGCAATCAAAACAATTATGAACTAGTTTGGAGGGTGGGTGTAAATTTGGTCTACGGCATGTCTTGCACACGACAAGCGATAGAATATCTAGCTTCATCAGTTTCAGCAGTCAGGACTGAGCATCGAAGACCACACCTTTTTGAAGGTAGGAGTTGAACAATGGAATATGCCTGTACACTAAATAAAATTCGCGTCTCGCGATGCATTTCGCGCCACTCAGCTTGGCCGCGAGAGAATAAATGATGTTGTAGTTGAATAGATGGATCGACAAGCATAGCAAATAAGCTTTAATTCAGACTATATAGGTCGCAAATTTTCTTCCTTAATGCTTTTTTTTTCAAACTTCAGACATCTGTCTAAAATTCGATAGATCGCTGCGAACCTCCATCACATGTAGCCTACCATTAAAGCTCTTCTTTCAGCTACCGTCTTATTGTGTCCAAGCGGATCACAAACTGTCTTCCTACTACAGCACAACAACACAGCCGGAAAACTAATCCGTACAATTCCAACGGCTTCCGTCACCGACTGCTCCGAACACTGCGCCAGATCAAATGTGTGTCATTTAAGATCGCATAATCCATAAAAGTAAACATCCCATGTAAATTACAGCAAAAGCGAAGACCAGCTTACCTTTCGATCCCTTGAAATTACTCAACACTCCTGTGCTTTCTTAGAAATCAAACTATGTATAGTTTGAATATGGATGACACAACTACCGAAAAGCAAGCTGGATTGCCTCATCGTACGACTCGCATGAAACATTCTTTATCTGCCTGTGGTCATCTTTAACATAATGTACTGTAATAGAAGAAGTACAATTATGTTCAGTATCTCCGCATTGCAGGATTGTGTCGGTATCGAGTTTGTCGCTGGAAACTGCAAGATGATTGGTAAGAGTAAGAGCAAATTCACACCAGTTGAAGGGGCTAAAATTTTGATGAAAAGTTGCGTAAAGGTGCGTATAGCTTTCTGTTTAAGCTTATAGTTGATGAGTACTACTCATTTACATCAGCTAAAGTAATCAGTTACGTTCGTTTACAGAGCGATCGAGTGTGCTCATCGCCATTCCACTTTGATGTGTTCAAACAGAAGATTCTTGTAGGTTTCGCTCGTGAAGTTGTTCCTGCCGAGGACATTCAGGTAGGTGTTAACATAGTCATGGAAGTGCATTCGAAAAACCACAGATGACTTCCTGAGGATAAAACGTTCAGTTCATTAAGCTTCGTAACACGGCCATCCCTTTCTCCCACACACCAAAAAATTTGCTAGAAATGAACGGAGAAGCAATGAGTGAAAGCACTTGTTGTATGACTTACTCCTATGAATCATCTCAAAATTCTGAAATATTCACGGTACAAAGTATAAACGACAACGAAGAACTTGAAGGAACTTATAGGTATTTAGTTATAGCAACAGAAGTAAAAATGTCTGTACTGGTCTGTGTCTTTCGTTCCTAATAACGAATACCTATCTCATCAAGGTTTGTATGAGCGCCTGCCTGAACTCATTCGATACTTTCGGTTTCGAATGCGAATCGGCCATGTATTATCCGGTCGATCAAGAGTGCATTCTCAACACTGAGGACCGGCTTGACAGGTATGCGGTTCACATTAATAGCTCTCTGTTAATGTATACGTATTGACTTTCTCCGGGTGTTTTGAATTGCTGAACAGCAATTTGGACTTTCAGACCTGATCTATTCGCTGACGAATTCGAAGACACCGTCATCTATATGGACAACAACTGTGCAGGATGTAAGCCAAAATGATCTCAGTATTTATATTACGTGTTTCTCCGAGTGCCTCTGTGATGCCTTCAACACCCAGTTTTTTCCTATTCTAACACATTCGCGACAAAGCTACTTTTTCTACTATAAATGATAAAGTTCTTCTTTAACAAAACATTAGACCTGGTGAGAACTTTACAAACTTATGAAAAAGAAGAAAGAAAGGTGTTGCATTGATCATTGACATTATAGAGGAGATTTGTATTTTCGCTTTAAGGGTGTATTCATCTTTTATAGACCACTTTTTTAATACGTATTCTAACATTAATGAGCTAACACGAGTTGGTAAAATAAACATTATTCGGCTACATTTCGACACGTTCGCCTTCCTTAGAGTCGATGATCCAAGTTAGTCTTCGCCTTCGTATACGGTCGGGTTTTCCTCAGTGGAGTGTCTCTCGAATAAAGCAACCTCACCCGACAGTGGTTTTTTACGCAGGATGGTCTTTGTTGATATGATTGTCTAGTGATAACGACTTGTTTCTCCCAGACAAGCCATCCTGCAGCAGTTGGTACCATTACCAGCTAGCACGAAGAGTCATAATACTTCAAAAACCGACCTTCCTCCAACCTAGGCATAACTAATCAATACGTATTCTTTCTTTGATGAGCTAACACGAGGTTGATTAAATAAACTTCATTCGACTACCATTTGGACATTTTCGTCTTCCTCAGAGCCAATAATCCGATGTCCACAATCCTTCGCGCTCTCGATATGGCGTCTTCGTTGTTTGAAGTATTACTCTTTTAATTTCAAATTAGCTGAGAATTGAAATTCCCAAAAAATTGAAAAATGGATTCGTATTTTTAAGTCTTCTCTGCTTCTCTAGAGTCTCTAAGTCTTTTGTTGCGAAAGTCCCAAAATTCAGTGATATAATGGGGAAAACAATCAGGTACTCTTGGAAGCAATTTCGCTTGTTCGATTGCTAGCCCTTTCGAAATATGAGTGCTGACGCAGATAAGGAAAAAAAACCAAAAAGAAAAACAGATACTCGCATGGATTCCAGAGGATTGAAATTCCATAGGGATACAACAACAGAACTTGTATTGTGTGGACAAGAATCCGTGTATTCCAAAGAATTTCGTTCTGATCAGTTGAAAAGGCGAAATGCGCCGAAACATCAGCTTGTCCGTAAATGAAGAATAAAGTAACACTTCATATTTGCTCAGGAAGAACATAGAAAATTATCCAATCAATAGATAGATTATCAATAGATAGATTATCAATAGATAGATAGATAGATTATCACCTTTCCAGGCTCTGAGGAAGGCGAAATCCGCCGAAACGTCGGCTTGTACGTAAATAAAGAAATAAAGTAACACCTCGTGTTTGCTGAACAGAAGTAGAAAGAATTGTCCAATCAATAGAGTTTAGTATGATCTGAAATATGTCTTCTTTAAAGATGAAAAGCACCCTGTTGAATTGTAAGTCACTACAAGTACTGCTGGGTGAAATACTCTAATTCTTGACATAATAGAATGCTCCTCAGATATTCAGTGCGCAGATATCACCGCACTACTGAAATCCGACATTCTACTGTAGATTATCACTGACTAGTAGGATTTCCGTTCATTACGAATAAAAACGTAAATACCTGCAGAGAAAATCGGATGATTTCAGCACAATGCTACGCTCCATACATTACACAATACATCGCCGTCGATGGGAATCAACTCGAGAACGAACTCGACCGAATTATTAACGTCGATGTCGACTCGTGCCAAAGTCTCTGCACTCAACGACTTTCACTCACGGTAGGCAATTACCATCAACATTGAAGAAAATCGAAATGCACACACACATACATACGCACACACACATACATACACACACACATATACATACACACACATACACCACACACACACCAAGAATCATCGTGGACTTGTTGACTACAACATGATAATAGCATAACGTCGAAGTACTATATACAGGATTGGCCCATAATTTCGAGTTACAGCACATTTCTCATCATATTGTGGAAGACTAAGGACGTATATTTTTATTCAGTGTTGCTTAAGGTTTCATGAAGCGTGAACTTGTTTGTGTTAGTCCACATTGTTCGGTTTCGATCTAATTTTTTAAAATTACAAATCAACTGACATGTGTTTCATAAAAGTCACTTCAGTTCCAATGTCGGAGCGTAGCACAGCACTGGTATCAAAATCATGACGATACCATGATATAGTTTTAAACCTGCTTTCATTGAACCTTGACAAAAATAATCGATACCTTCTTCCTTTACTGAGAAAACGGAAGGTTGTATGTCTTTGTTTTTTTCAAAATAGGACTAATCCGAGTCAATAGTCCACAGCTGGCCGTTGTTGCAATGTGATTGCTCGCTTTCGCATCGAATCGAACCCAGTGGAGCGAGCACCTCTCGAATGGTGAACTTCATTCAGCGGTACCCCTTTATACATGACGACCCTTCGCTGATTGCCTTCTTTACTCCTAATTCGCTATTTGCTAGCTACTATGGTACAGGACCCCAAAGTAGATCATACTAGGTGGTATCAATCAATCAACATCCGTCCTGTATGAAAGGGCGGCGTTAATTGAAGTGAACCATTCAAGCGGTGCACCTCCAATGGATTCGTCTCGATGCGACAACGGACCAGCAGGTCGCGACCACGACCACTTATGGATCATCGACTCTCTAATCAGTTCGGCCCTGAAGAAGGTCGCAGCGCCGAAGCGCTAGCCGAATAGGTCTCTTTAATACTTTAATAACCTCGTATTTGCTTAATAATGGAAGAAGATATACGATGAGATAATTCATTACCACTCTGAACTTTGACTTTTCACACTCCACACTTCACACTCCATTAGCATGGCCAACAGTTCTAGCTCTCTATGAAGGAATCTCATAAACGGCTATTTCCCTTTCCATCAGAAGTACCGCATCATCGATTTCGCCTATCTCTACTGTAGCATAGCATATCCTCAATTCTTTGCTATTTACTATTTCGGTGAGAAAGAGTACTACTGAAGAATTTGAATTGTGAAGAACGTAATTTGACCCGAATGCAAATGACACGACGGCTCAACGGTAACCAGCAATCATACGTGATTTGAAAACTTAAACGAGCGATACGCTGTTTTGCATTCGAATGCCGAAAAAGCTGGCGATAAAATCGTTTAGCAGTAAGGGATTTTCTTTTGAAAATGTACTCAGATAAAGCGAGGCCGGAAAGTGACTTCTCAACTATAGACATTCAAAAGTTTAATGAAAAAACCTTAACTATGGCTAAGAGGTGAAGTGGAAAGTTTTCGTCAACTTCACTTGATCTATTCAGCACATGTTGTTCAACGTGAGAATTCTTTCCTACCACTAACATAAACTTAGGTTCTATTCACTGACATGTTAGAACCAACTAGCGTAAAACTCCATAGAACGATAATCGTGAGCAAGTTAGTAGTCCAATTTCAAGCAAGATCATTTTCGGTTTCGGAAACTACAAAATCTAAACAAAACTTTAGCTTCGGCTTAGCAATAGTCGAATCTTTTGTGCTGTCGATTTCCAGACTAGTTCTTCTTAAATGATTGCCAAAATTGGTTCAACAGAATACTTTATCCCAACATATTGAAGCTTGGTGCAAAAACAGACGATTGGAAAGCTTCCTCTTTAGCCTGTACTCTATCTTAAAAATGGATTTTTTATTCGCAAACTCCTGCACACCGTAATCTTCTGTTGCCTTATTGAACGATCTTCAGGTCAACGATTTTAACTGCAAATCATTCATGTACAACAACCAGACACGAACGTGTATTCTCTCCGATGAACGGTCAAAACCACTCGGACGGGGCACGTTGATCAAAACTGAAGGATTCACCTACTATGAGAAGAAGTGCTTTGCATGTGAGATATTTACTAAATATTTTCAAAAATTGAAAAACTCTGTTATAACTAACTATATGGAGCCGTCTTTTCTCTTTATCATAATTAGCATGATTTCTATGAATCATATCGCCATTGTCAATCAATACTTTTTTTCAGTGTTCCGTAATATGAAACACTATTCATCAAAGTGTACTATTCGGAAATATTAGCAATCTATAAGTAGCCATGCCACTTTCACCCAACTTCGTTTTTTGCCTAGCAGACAACATTCTCGCAATAGATTACCGTGGTGGGAGGTACTCATAGATGTTGGTTCTGTGTACAATGCAGGCTCCATCTTTTAGTAAGGTCTTAAAAGTTTTGAATGGGTTCGCTATTTCATCTAAAATCCCAGATGAGTAAACTAATGCCTCGTATCACCCCCGTCTTGAAGGTAACCTGCCTGCGCGGTGGCATGTAACCTGCTTACGATGTGGCATATCTCCTTCTAATCGACAAAGACAGAGCAATGCTTGCGATAATGGCCTGTGAAATCCTTAGCGTCTACGTTATCTGAAGAGTCAAGAAGAAAGAAAATTTCATTCGCTCAGTTAATTAGTATCAAGTATGTTCTATAGTAATACTATTAGTATGCTCTGTATTGCGACAGTTCGTTAAGAAGGTCGTTCAAGTTTAGTTCATCAAAATATATGCAGTATTATCGCATAATTGGCCCATTGGACTGCTCACAACTCAGTATCTCTTTGTTTAATATTAGTGCAAAACACTTATCATCGTATAGGCTTAAGTTTCGTTCTTAAATTGTCTACTGTCTTTTGTAACCAATACAACGACCCCTCCCAGTCCTTCCCTCCTCTTCTCCATCAACATTTTGGTTAATCGGAACGGGAAATGAAAAGAAAATGTGAAATTTAGTCAGTGACCTTATCATATCGCGCTCCTCCTAATAGAACATTTAGTGCAAACGCTCTCAACGACCACTTTCCCTGTTGCGAATGGCTAGAAAATCCTCGTAACGCGTCAAGAGCCAAGAAACCAATTGACCTAACTTCGTCAATTGAACCATTAACACGATTACCGCATCAAGAAAAACAGACTGAATAAATAAGGCGAACTTGAAAGAAGTTTGGTGGAAGTTGCTTAAAAAAGTGCTTAACAATGCGTAAACTCTGAAAAGAGCGGTGCCGAAACTGCAGTGTTGACGTAAACGTTACAGGTTCTTCTTTCAAATGGAGTCGTCATTTCAATAGCAATTTTCTTCATTCCGAAAGAGCCTATTAACATGTCTGGTTCAAACGACTGTGAAGATTACTATAGCGAAAAGTTTAACTTTTATGAATCTTATAAAATACGCTATGGTGCTGAGATATTTGCAAAACTCGGGAGCGCAAGTGTCTGCGGCGGAGATCGACCGCGCTATTACCCTTTCCGGCGGCTAGCGCGTTCACTACCACATCATATTCGCTTTTTTGTTCGCCTTTATCTCAGCTAGTTTTCTATCTGCCACTGCCATCAGTAGTCACCCGTTAACAGAATTGATATGAGGAGCACAAATCGGCATTGAACCCAGCCAAGCTGAGGCTGCAGTCGAGTTCACAACGTTGGCTTTTTATTTACTGCCCATTATTTTTTCACGGCAGACTACTATGTGAAATATAACCACGAGAGCTCTGTGGTGCAGTGTGCGAGCCTCCGGAAAACGTAATCGCGGTTCGATCTGGCCTGCGGTCCAAGTTGTATTTCACATCATAACCGCCATGAGTGATTTCGATCACAGCCTCAGCTTAACTGGGCTCAATGCCCATTTGTACTCCCCAGGTCAATGCCGTTAACGAGTGATTGCTGATGGCACAGTATGATAGAAAACTAGCTAAGATAAAGGTGAAATGAAGGACTTGCCCGGTGTGGTGGTGAACGCGCTGGCACCTAGAAAGTGTAATATCGTGTTCGATCCCTACCGCAGACATCTGCAGTCCGAAGTTTTGCAAATATGTCAGCATCATTGCGGTTGTATTTCACATAATAACGTGCCGTGGGAAACTGTAGTAAGCAACAAATAAAAAGCTAACATTGTGATCTCGTAAAATAGTTTGTTTACGAGTTACATTCCACTTTTTCTGGTCGAAAAAAGCGATGTATTTGAATAAATGACATTTATATTAAGATAAGGCACCAAAAAGTCAATAAATGAGGTTACTGAGCGATAGCCAATGCTGGTAGATACAATAGAATACTTTTATTAACTTTAAAATGATTGATTAACGTTTTTAATCTCTTCTATTTCAACCAACTGAAGTGGCCCAGCACTTGTTGCACGGTTTCTTTCAATATAGCAGTTGACACGGATACTTCAGTGAGCCTACTCCAACGCTCATACAACGCTCCGTTATGCATGCTGCTCATATTGATTGAGCGGAGTCAAAAATCAATGCATTCAATGTTATCCACTTAGCACTTCTGTCCAACTTTTTGTGACAAGAAGTTAGTCTACCCCTATCACTGACAATGTAATTATAATGACGGAAATTCGTAATACGAAACTCCTGCTAAGGAATAATTTTTCATATTTCAGCGCCAAACACTTGCCGCAATGTGCCTTCGTTCACCCGTGTTCCTCAGATGATTCTAGTGGGTTTCGCCGCGTTCGTCATGGAAAATGTACCCTCAGTGACGATGTGCCTTGACCAGTGCACCAAGTATGATCTTTTACAGTTATAGAATTTATAACACATTTTCTTCAAAAGCTAGAACGTTTGTGCTTTAATAGTGAAAGAAAAGTGTGTTAACTGAAGCATTTCAAATGATCCTTGCTGATATACTTAATCACAAAGAAACTTTTCCTTTTGTTAAATCTCAAGCAAAGTTATTGACATATTGTCTCCATGACCATCATCTTTTCCTACACTGTCGGTTGAACTGAAAACCACTGCTCATTCAACTGTTCATTTCACTACTCAGATATTTCCTGAACGTAGCAAATCTTGCACACACAGTTATTCTGAGTGAAATATAATTCCTTTTCGCATCGTTTTCCCACGACCGTCGTCTTGGTAAACAATAACGGAATGCTTTGTTTTCAGCAGACTTCTATTCAGTGGAAGTTTGTATAATGATGGCCGATGCACTGGAAATACAGTGAACAGCTCTAAGCAGCGCTGTATTTCAAGTTAGCCGTCAGTAGTGCTTAATCATCAGTTTGAGACAGAACAACGAATTTGACATTCGCAAGATTTTTTATTACCACAGAGCGAGCCTCAAACTTGGGTAATTAAACCTTTATTTACACCAGACAAATATAGAATACGTTCAACGCATATTCGCGCCATACATACTAGAGAGGAACATTCTAGTACTCGTATAAATACTTTGCAACTGCAATTTATTTGAGTGGGTGGCGAGAGTACAGTATGTAGTCGTGAGACTTCTCAATAGTTTGACCTATCAGTTGTTTGCGAATTTGATTTGGTTCTACTGAAAACTATTTATATTTTTAGAAAGAGGTTTTTCTCTTTAAAAAAGAAAAAAAAAGAAAACTAGTAAGACTGACTGCATAACCATGTTAAACGATAGCTAGAGAGGTTTTCCTGGTCACTTCTTCTTAGCAATTTTTTGTACCATGCGAAAGACTGTTCTCTGTTCGTTTGCCCCTTTCGTCCGAACATGTGAGGCTTTATTTGGGAACGGATGAAAACTTTTTGGCTTCCATTTCGAAGAGAATCAGTTGCGTATGACCTAAAATTATGCGACTATCGATCCCAATTCCCACTCCGGAGATGGGAATCCAATTTTTTCAGCAGATTTCGCCGTGTGATCGCAGATTTGGTCTGGAATAAAAAACGGTGCAAGTTATCAGCAGTGGCTTTCATTTTATTGGGAAAAGTGGTATGATCTCAACCTGATAGCAGAATACTGTAGTCATGATGACAATTTCTAGAGCCAGCTCTTTTCTGAGGTGGTTCCAGCATGCTTTTTTTTCCTGTACCGTTGTTTCTCACTCTTATGAGAACTTTCTTTACTCAACACTAGAAACCAGTCGGCACAAATTTCACAGTTGGATAAAATCACAACTTTTTCAAAAATCAGGAACACATTTTCTCTTTCGTTAAACGAGTTATGATCGTCGTAAATCTGAGATCCTTTCTTGAGCTACTAGTATTCCGCTGTTAAATCCTTCTCGAAACGTCAACCTTTGTTTTGTCCTGCGTTTTCGCCGCAAGCATTCATCATTGTTCAGTGGTAAGATCTGTTTCATACATCTTATCTTTATCTTGCCTCTGTGATCTTTTATGACCAAGCCTGAACTAAAAGCCGTGGAGATAATCCGTTGACATAATCTCCTATTTGTGAAACTCTAGTCGCTTTCTCTTTGTGTGAAGCATCGGAAACTTCTTCTTTCCCTAATAACTTTTCCGTAGAGAGAAACACTATATGAATTGAAGCTGAAAAACATGGCTTCCAATTCTTGTTTCGGTTTCCAATTTCGCGCTACGTATCCCTCTAATTCTTATCGCTTCTCTTTTCTACTATGTTAGAAATTTTTAAGAACATGTTTGTAGAAGGACATTTCGCTTTGTTTTGAACGTTTCAGTTTGGACTCAACGCTTGCACACACTATAAGAAAGTTTTTTGAAAAGAATGCTAGAGACAGTGAATGATCATGTCAAATTATTGAACCTCTTGTAGGTCATTGTAATCTGTACTGTCATATAACTGGTTACATCATTTGCATTCGTTTTTTAAAATAATTGATGTTCATATTGAAAGACAGAAATAATTAAACAATAATAATGTAACAATTCAGTCCTCCACCCGAGACTGGAGACAATTTCGAATGCAAATCGGTAATGTACTACTACAATGAGCAGGAATGCATTCTGAATGCTGAGACTCGCCATAGCAAGCCTGATCTCTTCATTCCTGAAGGTGACGAGTTCCAGGTTTGGTCATACATTTCTGATATTGACATTTCTTTCCTGACGATATGTAGCGGTCACGAAAATTATTTTAAAAGGATGATGAGAATTCTCTCGAACCTCTTTGTTTCATTTTCTTAGCGCTACGCTATACTCAATTCAGGTTGATTACTTTGACATCACATGCCATCTTAAAGAAGAAAACTGCTCAGTAGGAACTCATCTGAAGGTGAAGGAAATTGTTTATTGTTTATTTCTTTGTGATTTTTGGTCAATTAACAACATCCGACTGCTTTCTTAAGCGAATGCAGTTAGCCAATTATATATTTCAAGGCCGTGCGAACTATCAACGCTGCGTTGCCTGAAGGCGAAGGAGATCTTCATGTACTGAAGTCTGCAGGAAAAGGAATCAAAGAGTGCATAAAGAAGTTGGTGAACTCAACATGTCATTTTATTTCAAAGAATACGTGTTTGATTGCACAATGCAATATAAAACACTTGCGCTTGGTTTAAAAAGTGATTATACATAAAAAATAAACGAAAGAGCTCTCGGCGTTGATCATCCACCAAGAGATGCGAATAAAAAGGCGTTTTTTTTTAATCGTACCCGCTTTAACTACTGCAGTAAAACAGTCCTATATCCCTGAATTTGCATACGTTCGTTTAGATGCTTCGGAAGCAGTCCAGAAAAGTGTCGTTCATTCAACTATGATAAACGATCTGGTATCTGTAATCTATTGTATTTGGACAGTATGAACACTCTTCGTCCACGAATTCGTCAAGGTACCGACTTCTACGAAATGCACTGTCTTGCAGGTGAGTTCTATGACAAGCTTTTTCTTAACAAACAGAAATACGACAATAATAACAAATCCACAGAACACTCTGTATAAGCAACACATATCCAGCCAATACAGTATACCGCACGCCACACTCGTCCTTTCGGCACGCGACACGGTGCGCTCACTCGCACTAGTATGGCAGCGAGTGAGGCGACGGTTTAAACTAGAACTTTATCTAGCTATGCCTCTAGTGGAAGGCGACTGTTCCGCAAACAAGGACGATGTTCTCTTCTCACGTTATCTACACACAAAACAGCGTGGAATCGCCAGCAAAACGTACAAGGTCGTCTCGCTCACCTCGTGTCTTGAAGTGTGCGCTGGAAATCCTGTGTGAGCGCTCTATTCAGTTCCACATTAGCATTTCTTTTAATTTTGATTGCTCTGAGTCAAAGTTTATTTTCGAACAGTTTCGAAGTTGAAAATCATGTAATACTGGGAAATACATTGCATAATCCGAGTCTTACTTACATTCAAGCTGCGCTGGAGTAAATTACAATCGTCGCTTTGGCCAATGCGACGTTTTCGACGCAATCGATGAATCTGCAGACGCGAATGAACATGTGGACTTCTACAAAAATCTTTGTGTTGTCAAGGTATGAACAAATGAAGTGCAAAAAGAAAGATTTTTTCGGAATTTTGTATACTAATTGTCAAATCTTGAAGTTGTAGATTCGTTATCGTCACTCAAAAATTCCTGCTTTAGGAAATCGACAGTGATATCTCAGCTGCCGCTAATGTCCCTGCACAGCCACATCGCATGTCCGGTACGGTCACAAACAAAAAGGATGCACGCGGCGAGCTACTTGCTACCAAGAAGGTGATATTCAAGTGGAATTTGAATGGCGTCGTCAATTTCGGTAATGCTATTGCAATAATGACGTGCACATCTTCGCATTATTTCCAGATCAAGCCGTCGATTCGTGAGCACATGCATCGACGCAAGCCTGAATCTACAATACACCTCGGACCACCAGTCTCCATTCCGGCCGATGCTATCCAAACAATTTGTAACTACGAAGGGATTAGAGTAAGACGTCCACTTACATTGAAGTAAATTATGCACATGAGGATAAGAAAAAATAACACCAAAACGTTGAGTGCAGTAAATTTCGATGAGGAAAAGAAGTAATGATGTAGAGTTGCACTATTTGCGTGATACTGGCCTAGAGACCGAAGAACATTCTTCATAATTTTCCGCGTGTCAGTATACTGATTTATTCCTTTCGCAGCCGAATATGTGTATGGGTGATAGCCGTGATCGACACCTTCGCTGAAGTGAAAACTCGACTCAATTAACGGCTCCAAAACTTTCACTTCATTCCTTAAAGCGGTCTCTTGAAGCCTTTCAAACTTAGATGCTAAATCAATCAAGGATAATGCCGAGGCCTTGAAATTGTAATTTACCCTTTAGCCGAAATGTGTTAGACCTGAGAAATTTGAGTGCATGAGAGCCAACGATTTGAGTGTCGACTTAAGTTAGACTATAATTTTTAATAATTGATGAGTCCCTATTTTGCGATTGGCGGCTACGCTTGATCGAAAATGGACGCAGATGCTTTTTCAGTCATCACTAAGCAGCTCAAGAGGGTGGTCTGCATTTGTTTCCGTCGAATGAAGAATGAAGAGATTTTAACTCTTTTATTTACTGCCTCAGCTGAGGCCTAAGCTTAACTGGGTTCAATGCCGATATTGGCTCTCCAGATCAATCCCGTTGACGGGTGATTGTTGATGGCAAAAAAGATCGATAGAACTAGCTGAGATACATGCAAAGCGAAGGACCCGGATGATGTAGTGGTGAAGTGCGCTGCTCCCCGGTAAGGACAACAGCGTGTGTTCGTTCCCCACTGCATACACCTGTGGTCCGGAGTTTTGCAAATATCTCAGCATTTCATGGAAGAGATTTTATTTAACACACCCTGTTTGCTCGTGCTACATAAGAAGTTTCATACTTTCTTCAAGGATCTTCTTGAGAAAGCCTGAACCTTATGTTGGTGACCTTGTTGTTGTGCGCTTGATAGTACCATAAGATAGCTTGGTCACTGTTGGCTGCCGCTAAGATGTTATGTGTTCAGCTCACATAATTCTTAACGTTATTCCTTGCATCGATGTGTTCATTAGTGATGTCATTCCAAGACCTGCCAGGATATACACAAATGAACAATCTCTATTTATGACCTTTTTGAGTTCCATTTCTTAGTTTTTGCTTTTATCTCCTTCCTGTGAGGGAGAAACCCCTTATTACGATATGACCAATTTGTCTACGTCTTCACTGGAAGACTTGAAAGTCTACTTTCAACAGATGAGCTTCATGAGTTGCTAGATGATATGTATGTCCTTGACGGTGAACTCCGCACAGAGTAATACATGGGCGAAGACTGTGCCTGTGTCAGGTCATTGGATTCGTCTGAGGCACGGCGCCAGGTCACGCGCGATGACAAGACACTCCTCCTTGCGGTTCATTTTTGGATTTTTGGAATTAATCCAAAGCTCTTCAAGAATTTTATGGCTGTCTTGGTTTCCTGTGCGGACTTCTACTTCAAAATCTTCTCCGTTGTGCTTCTGCGTCCTGTGCGCGCCAAGTGGAGTGTTTGGTTTTAATTTAGATTTACCGACTAGGTGTTCTTTTATGCGGACGCAGAGTCGTCTACCTGTTTCGCCAACGTATTCGTCCCCGCACGCTTTACAAGAGATCAGATAGATTGTACCCGAACTCATGCAATCACCTTCTCTACCGTTAGGGCGAATTATGCAGTTTTTCACTATTCTTCTTCGATATCATAACCACCATACGGCTGGCGTTGTCTTCTCGTGTCATCTAATTTCTTGATATTGTACTTAACATTTGATTTGATTTTCTTGCTGATAAGTGCTTAATGGATCGGTACTGACCTGTGGGTTACTAAGCTTTGTCGTTAAGGCTGGATATATTTATGGAAGGAGTTTACTAATTGTTTAAAACAACTCAAAAGCAATTCACATTTATTTACCAACCATTTTCTTGCTGGTTTTCTTCAGTACCAATGTGAGTATCCAAAATCATTAGGCTTTCATAGAGAATATAGGTGAAATTGTCGTGAGAATAAGACAAGGAGCTCATTGTCTGATTCAGAATGCGTCTTACGAGAGGTGTACTCTGAGCACTTCATGGTCGCTGATGTGGCCACTTATAGCTCGCATTCGACCCTTTATCCAGCACTTGGAAACGTGTTAAGTGTGCTCCAACCTAACTGGTTCACGAGACCCTGTGAGCGGTCCTATGATTGCATAGTAGTAAATATGGTTATTTATAAGAAATAAAAACGAGTAAAAGGATGTTGTGTACGGTACCGTAATACAACTCCTTTTTCCTCGCTCTCCTCCCACTTTATTTAGATTATCGGATTTAGTTTATTTATTGGAATTATTGGAATTAGATGACCGCTGATAGCACCGTTACTGTAGAGAAGTAGCTGAGAGAAGGACAAGCAAAGGCCTCGGTGGGGTGGTGCAGTGTGTAGCGCATGAACTCCGGTAAGGGTAATGGGAGGTTCGAATCTGACTTAGCGTCTTAGATTTGCAAATATCTCAGCAGCATTGTGGTTGTGTTTTGCATAGTAACCTACTATAGAAAAATAACAAGTAGTAAAGAGAACATTCCAGTTGAAAGCTGTAGTTTCCTTAGCAATAAAGTAGAACAGCATCTAAAATGAAGCCTTCATTCCGGTCCATTTCTTTGCTCGCTCTAAAAATTTATTCAAATATCCATGTTTAAGGTCCAAGTGAATCATGATTCATCATTCAATGGCGTCATCTTCGTGAAGAATAAATACGACACATGTCGAGTAGAGGTTAGCAATTTAAATGTATCTATGCGAATAAATGACATTATTTACAAATTAAGATGACCGAGTTCGAACTAAGTTATCGTTGAGTGATTTGGTTAGTTCTTCTCAAAAGGTGCATTTTTTGTCTAAATGTTCAAACTGTAAGGACGTGAAGATTGAGGGAAAAGCATTACTTTAAGACTTGCGGTCTTACTGTCATTACCACGTGGATACAGCGATTCAACTAATTGTAAGTGAAGTACAAAATACGGTAGAGATAATTCCTTTTTCTAACGTCCTCTAAGGTACTTAAGTAACTAGTTCTATTCTGTGAAAGCCTACTATGCGAGAAACATCTTCGGTCCAATGGCGGATTACAAGCTAGAGAACGATGCTTTCAGGTGGCCAATTCGAAATCAGCCATTTTAGTCCTTGGCCTACCAAAAGACTTTGGAATGCGGCCGATTACTTTGGACGGCATTGATGAGGTAGTTCTGTTCGCACATTTTGCTTGATAGTGTGGAATTATGAAGAGTGTTCTGTAGATGACAACTGATTCTGTGAAGAACTCCGCAAAAGCCGAGCTCATCAAGGACGAGCACGAGGAGTTCCGTCATAAACGGCAAGCGGACAGTCGTGATTGTGGCCTCATTGATATGGTAGATTTCACTCTACATAGTTCAGAATTGGCAGATTTCAATTCACGTTTAATCTAAACAAGAATACATTGCCCATTAATTTCTGATATTTTAACATCTTCGCTCGAGTCTGAAGTCTATTGATCGATTGATTCCAGTTAAACGGAACGTATAAGACAACTGTTGTGATACAAACAAACAATCTCGGTATTCCTGGATTGGTGACTTCGATGGATCAGCTCTATGAGGTGTCTTGCGATTATTCCAGCATGCTTGGTGGAAAAGTTCAAGCTGGATACAATATGACGGTTCTGTATGTCAACAGATCCTCCTTATTCTTTCCATTTCTATGCTACCTTGTATTCGTAAGATATCTCAAAAACATTTCACATTCTAGTGGACCAGAAGCGAATCTGATTCAGCCAAGGGGAAAGATTGAGCTCGGCAATCCAGTATTTATGCAACTGGTGAGCAGTCACGGAGAGCAACCCGTAGTTCAGGTACAACACTTAGTCAAGTGTAAAATTCTGCTTGCTTGTTCACTATCTTTTTACACTGTGGGGTAAATAATACCTATTTATTTGTTCGCAGGCAAAACTCGGTGATATTTTGGAGTTACGATGGGAGATAATGGCTATGGATGACGAGCTCGATTTTTTCGTTAAAGACTGTTTCGCTGAGCCTGGTGTTGGCGCTAAGGCTGAAGAGAAGCTGCAACTTATTCAAGGAGGGTAAGCGGGAGAATAAAGAGTGATGCTCTGCTAATAGGCCAATTTATTTCAAACAATAGGCTCGAATAAGGCATCTCACTTTCTGAGATAGATAGGCTTTAAGTTTCCTGTAAGCTGCTGTATAAAAATTTCCTAATCGAAAGAGATCAGTATTATGAACTACTCAGCAAGATGCGAACGCATAATCCTGTTGAAATTATTCAGTAAATCTCCCTCTCCCTAGATGTCCTACAGCGGCTGTTGCTGTGAAGCTCATTCCTGGTCCGATTGAAGTACAGTCGACATCCGTGAAGGTCGCTCGTATGCAAGCATTTCGTTTCGACTCGTCGAGTTCGATTCGCATCACTTGTGAAGTGGATATCTGTAAAGGAGATTGTACACCAGTAGGGATCATTATCCACCGTTTAATACTTTTACATATTAAGAGGAGTAATACATACCATTTATAGGTTGAATGTGGACTTACCGAAGGTCAGCGGCACTCATGGGGACGTAAAAAGAGGGAGTCAGAGAACTCTGTTTTAGAATGTAAGTCTCTTCCAGTTTTTCATCGTTGATTCCTTCTCAAGTTGCATGACTCCCATGAAGATCAACCTGTAACAACGTTTTTGTTGAATTCCTATGTTGTGAAGTTAGGCTGAGTAATAAGAAAGAAGCTTTGTGTTTTTCCTTACAGTAGACTGTCAACCTGTTTCCCAACGTCAGCTAAAATTTTTTAGATGAAACTTCACGATACATTGTACCAAAACATGTGCGAGCGACCACATCGATCGTAATCATCGATCCGCTCCAACAAATTCAGGAACCAGTGAGTCTGGCACGTTCATCAACTATCGAATTCTTGCGTGAAGAAGCCGAAGAGATTGCCGTCTCGGTGAGCGGTTAACATATTTGGAGAGAATAACGATACGCTTACAGTTCTGAATTCCTATTTTCTAAAAGAGTTTTTTCTTGAAAGTGTGCTAATGAATTTAAAATGCATGAGAACGAACAACGACCTGTTATGGTTAGCTAACAGAACAAAAAATCTAACCGGCTGGAACGGCAGTACGGTACAATCCATCTGCTTACTCTTCGTCACTTCTGTATTTACAATAAAGGATAAGAAGGACAAAGTTCTCGACGTTGATCAATCCCTGAGGGAGGCACCATGCATTCGACCTCATTAAGCATCGTTAGAGGTGATTAAATGCATATCTGGCCTTTATAATGGCTCGCGGCAGCCTACCAACCTATTAAACCAGTGCTGCTATGCTCCTAAACAAGTCTGGTGCCAATTTGCCGACCCCGGAGAGATGGAATGCTTGATGAATTACGGACGTGAGGATCCGTCCCACGTGCGTGTCACAGGGCGCCTCCGATCACTGCGCCACCTTTGTATCTACAATAGCTTCCATAGTCACAATCACAATTTTGCTTATAACTACGCCCAATAAATTATGCCTAGGGGTGTTTTCAGACCACAGGACAGATGTGCATGGCAAAGCCTACATTGTTGGCTGTGTTCGGATTTCTTCTAACGTTAACCTCAGTACAAGCAATCGTCGTAATCCAACATGTTGTACGCAGACTTTGTCGTTCAAGTAAGCTATGAAATGACACGTACTATGGCAAAATCGTCGCCTGACGATTGTAGACTGTTTTGTTGCTTAGAGTTGTGCTAGAAATACCTCAAACATCTAGTCGACATCTAAGCACCACCCTTAGCACGAGAACAGTTCCTAATTGCGACTATCAACTGTCGTATCACATTGAAGCGCTTTCTGAATTGCAACATCTCAAAATCAGATTCACTCCATTTCAGCCTATTTATGACATAGTTCTACGTTTGTCATATTAATTTCACATTCGTAAAAACTACGGTTATACATCTCCATTCCTGTTGTTGTGTGCATGTTTGTATTTGTGTATGCTTGTTTCTAAAATGTCATGGAAGCCTTTGGCATGTACCGGCCAACCAGCTCCACATATCCTATAAATGCCGCGTATCACACTACGCCTTAAATACTACTTCTCTTTCTGTACAGGTGTTTGTTAGGATACTGTGGTGTCAACCACTCAGTTTGTCGCCAATCCTTTGTTCATTGCGGTTATGTATACTGCTGTAACAATTTCATGCTTGTTGAATACATCATTGTCGTAATCATTATTAACAACGATTGTTAACAAAACAGCACTACAAAGTGAGAAGAAGCAGGATACAACATACTGCGAAGAATTTGGTCGTTTAATTCATCTATATTGTTCCTTTAAATAATAATAATAACAACGAAAGCTTAATAACCACAACAGTGAGTGGTAATCGTGAATTCAAGAAAAAATACCACAGAAAACAACTCTTGCTCAACAAACAAAATAGCCAACAATAAGGTACTTATTGATCTTCCACCCGGATTTGTAATGATTTTCGTAGCAAAGACAAAAAGTATGCTTACTTTTTGATTTAATAGCTCACTGAGCGTTAATAACTGAACAAAGCGATGGTTCCATCGGCACCGGCGGTAATTAACCAGGGTTGGGTAGGGTGCCAAGTCGTGTCCAACATACAAAGACCGTCCACCTGCAATGATCTTATCTACTTTCTCCAGAAAAAACCGCTCAAGTAACAGCTCATTTTCCAACTACTTACCACTCTCCGATTTACCTTCCATAACTAACTACGAAGTTGAAATAAGCTCTCTGAAGTATTTTGAAAACTATTAAAAACTATTTTTACTTGTTTCAGGTGAACCTTAATGATGTTTGTGCTCTTCCTCAAACACGGACAAAACAATAGATAGTATATCTTTTTCACACTGCAGTCTCTCAACACAACTTGTATGCAGAGAAACTTTTCTTTTAAATTCCTCCTACTTTTTTCTACACTATATGATGAGCTGTATGGTGGCGGGGAGAGAGCAGTGTGATAAACGCTCCAACTTATCTCCAAAATTGCAAGGAGAACTGCCTCGACTAACATACAATACAAAATCCCCAAGCAACAACCCAAAAAAACGCACGAAATATTCGAAGACCTTTGCAGATGTTGGACGCGAGGAAATGAATCTATTGCAAGAATGTTGAGATCTGCACAGTAGGTGTGATGACGTTTGAGTAAAAAATAAAAAGTAGAAATGTATGTGCATGTATATGATAAAGGACGTTGCTATGGTAATGGTACGTACATCAAACAATATGTCGTACAACACCACATTGCCAATAATGACATTCTCAATGTCATTTCAACTTCTTGAGTTGGAATGATTGCCTGCCATATTTTTCGTAGCGTTCTTATTGATATTATTTCAACAATACACGTACTATTTGGCCCTACGCTTCATTTCACAATCGTGGCTTCTCGATAAAAGTAGTGAAAAAGAGGTGTCATATCAAAACCATTACGATGATCGTTTTTCGGTTATACTCGGTTAATTTGCGAACCGGCTTCTACAACGTCCTTGAACTGTCGGTTACTTTTTCATTCCTAATTTCGTTTGATTTCGGTTTTAACATCTCTCCAAATCAACTAGTAGGAAGATCGAGCGAAGGATTCGTCACCAAAAACACACCTCTCTCAGATCCACATCGTGATGAAGACCTGGATACGCCCTTGCAAGGTTAAGTTAGGACTCCAGGGATGACCAAGTTGCACGACCAGCAATAAACCAGCCTCAGTACTTCGCACACTACGTGCTCCCGTCTATGACGTCAGGCGGTGAGACGACCGATGAGGCCAGAAAAACTCGGGTTACGCAGGACGTCATAGGAACGGAATCTGACGAACACACGCACGACGTCATGGAGACTGTTTCTTACTATGCACATATAATGCCAGAACACTCTCCACAGACGCCGACCTTCACGTCCTTCTTGTAGCCACAGATCGCATTAAATTTCATGTGATCGCATTACAAGAAACAAAAATCAAGAACACCGACATTCACCAACTAAACAACGGGACCCTTGCGATCCATAGAGAAAAAGTCTCGTCAAGAAATATCGGTGGCATAGGCTTTGTCGTCCACCCGTCCATTGTCCATCTCGCCCACTCATACGCGATCCTTTCCCCTCGCATAGCCATCCTCCGTTTTCAACTGTCGCATCATAAGAAGATCACTATCATCAACTGCTACTCACCGACCGGCGCAGCTGATGAGTACGAATTAAATTCGTTCTACTATCAGCTGGAGGAAGTCATCCGCAATGATAAAGCATATCATAAATTTGTTGTTGGAGACTTCAACGCCAGAATAGGAAAGAGCGAATACAGGATCGGAAATTTTGGATTAGGAGAAAGAAATGAGAATGGGAACCATCTCGTAGGACTCTGTATTGGTTCCGATCACCGCCTTCTTCGCGAAGATTCGATTCAGCCGCGAACTGGAAAAAACTTTATCGATCACGAGAAAAAAGTCTGGCTGTATACGACGAAAACCTTCTGAACGAAGTTCTGTCCAAACGTGACTGGCAAATTGAAGAAGACCTGACCGAAGACTACGAGCCGCTTGTCGAAGGACTGAAAAGTTGTGCCGAGTTAGCTTCAGTTCAGTTTCCTCAAGCAAGAAGATCGGATCGCATCTCCATCGCTACTAAGGAGTTGCTCGAAAAAAGAAGGAAGCTGAAGCTTGATCCTACTGCAACACGTTTAACATGGCTAGTAATAAATGCCAGCTGCCGAAGAGCTTTGCAGGAAGATCTACAACGGTACAAGCAGAAGAAACTACTGAAAGCAGCAGAGAAAAGAAGCAGTCTGAAAAAATGCCGTCGGGACTTGTGTGATTACAATGTTCCGCTGTCAGCCCTGATCAACGAAGATGGGATCGTCAAAACTTCCAGCCATGATATGGAATTAATAACGGAAACGTTCTACACCAACCTTTCCCGTTCCACATCCCCGTCACGGGCCCTACTATCGCCGCTGGAGAAAAGCTACCTGGGATTCTTCTGTCGGAGGTTCGAGTTGCGATAGAAAACATGAGGATGGGCACGGCTCCAGAACCCGATAATATCACCGTCGATTTCTTGGAGCTGGAAGCCGCAATTTACACGTACTTTTCGCAAACCATATAACAGCCTACCGCCAAAAAGAAAAAATCCCAGACCAGTGGAGAACGTGGAGCAAGCTCTTTATACCTAAGAAAGGTGACCGAAGGGATCTTCGTAACTATTGTCCCTTATGCTTGTTGAGTGTACTCTACAAGCTCTTCACGAAGATTATCCTCTCGCGCATATCAAGGACATTGGATAAGGCGCAACCAGTCGAGCAAGCAGGATTCCGAAAAGAATTTTGCTGCATGGACCACATCCAAACCGTGTCCAGGGTCATCAAAGTTTGTCGGGAATACCACTTGCCTCTAGTCCTAACCTTTATCGACTGCGAGAAAGCGTTTGACAGTGTCGAAACGAAGAAACGAATGCAATCCTATCAGCGCTTATCGACCAAGGAGTGGATCCGTCCTACATAAGGGCTCTGTCCGACTGTTATCGGAACTGCACTACGAAAATACAGTTTTTCCATCGACCTCTTACCAAACCCATAGGTAAAGTGGTTCGACAGGGCGACACAATATCGCCAAAGCTGTTCAACGCAGTACTGCAGTGGATAATGAAGTCACTAGACTGGAATGAGAAAGGCATACGTATTGATAGAATATTCCTGTAAAAGATTCGTTTTGCCGACGACATTGTCATCTTCTCAAGAAGTACTAGCGAAGCAGAGGTGATGAGCAACGAGCTCAACGAAGCGGAGAAAAAGATCGGATTTCGCATAAATCGAAAGGAGATCCAGTTCATGGCGCGAAGGCGAAAAAATTGAATTGGATGGCTCTCTCATTGCTGAGACCACCTCGTACGTATACCTTGCACGATCAATGAACATGGAAAACAACATAGAGGAACTAGATAGAAGAAGGAGAGCAGCTTCGGCTGCATTCGGGACTCTCAAAGAAGCCACCAACCAACTGAAGGACTCCGAAATCCACACTCATCTCCTCGATTCTACGTCCTCCTAGCACTGTTATGCTGCAGAAACGTGAGTTGATACTTCACCTGCGTCAAGAATGCTTCAAACTACTCACAGAGCGCTTGAGCGAAGTCTTCTGAAATATAACCGGCGCTCTCCATATCTAGCAGGAATGCGAAGCTCTGACCTTCGAAATCAGTCACATCTTCGAGATCTGGGGGAATATACATCGACAGCGAAACACAAATGGGCCGGTCACATAATAAGAACAGCCGATAGATGGACGAAAACAACAGTGGAGTGGAGTCTAAGAGAATGCAAACGTCCTCTTGGACGACCACCTACACGTTGGGCGGACGTGTTCGTAAATAAAGTTAATCAGCTGTACCCAATAGACTACTACTAAGTCATATAACTGAGAGTTAGGCCGAGTACCTGTGGGTATTTCTCACCAGTTACGCAAGAAATAACGAACATAAGGAATAATGAACAGCTGTACCCGCAGCTGCAGTTGTTTTACAGATCACGGCATGAAACTCGCAAGCGCTACCATGCTCGAACAAGACCACCACCATGGACTACGATTGCGAGAGAAAGAAAGGAATGGCACATGTGCTGGAGGCCAAAGACGGATCGTCCACGTATCCAAATAA